CCGCTGTACGTCCTTCAGGTTTTTTGGGGCTTCCATGTCAACTATTGCCTTTACCTTCTCCGGGTTAGGCTCGATCCCGCGCTCGCTCATCATGTAGCCGAGGAATTTGCCGCCCTTGACAGCAAAGGCACATTTCTTCGGATTGAGCCTCATGCTAGCCCCCTCCATGATGGTGAAGATCCGTTCCATATCACGGACGTGGTCTTCCTTCTTCTTGCTCTTGATCAGGATGTCATCCACGTAAGCCTCCATGGTTTTGCCCAGTACGTCTTTGAACAACATCCCGATCATCCTCTGGAAAGTAGCCATGGCGTTCCTCAGGCCGAACGGCATGACCACGTAACAGTACACGCCGTCCGCCGTGACGAACGCCGTTTTCTCTACATCGTCCGGGTGCATGAACACCTGATGATATCCCATGAATGCATCCATGAAGCTGAGCAGCTCGCAGCCCGCCGTCTCGTCTACGAGCAAATCGATCCTCGGCACCGGATATGGATCCATCGGACAGGCCTTGTTGAGGTCCGAGTAATCGACGCACATCCGCCATGTGTCGCCTTTTGGGGCTAGTACCACATTAGCCAACCACTCCACGTGGATGACCGGCCGGATGTGCCTGATGCTGAGGAGCGTGGTAGCCTCCTTCTTGATGAAGTCCCGCCGTTCGGCTGCCATGTACCTCTTCTTCTGTTGGACAGGCTTAGCATCCGGCCGTACGGCGAGTCTGTGGCATATGAGGTTGGGGTCTATGCCCGGCATGTCCTCCGGCCCTCTGGCAAATAGGATTTTGAATTTCCGGAGGACAGCTATGACCCCCTCTTTGATCTCAGGCTCAAGGTCTGCGCCTATGGACACCTTCCCCTCCGACGGGTCATCCAATTCCACCTCCTCGAGCAGGGCAGCTGGTTCCAGACGAGCGTCAAAATCGGCTTGTCTGGCCTTCTCAGTGATGCTATTGACTCGGGCTTCTCGCTCGCTGAACCTCTCTATGGCTTTAGTGTAGCAGGCCCTGGCCATGTGCGGGTCCGTGCGGGCCACTCCCACTCCAGTCTCGGTGGGGAATTTGATGCATGAGTGCCGCACGGAGCATATGGCCTCAAGGTCTTCCAAGCCGGGCCGGCCCAAAATTGCGTTGTGAGCACACTTCAGGCGGACCACGACGAACGTCATCCGGATGCCGGTGGTGTGAGGTCCATCCCCGATCTCCACGGGGAGGCCGATGGTGCCCTCCGCATCGACGCAATCTCCTGTGAAGCCAGAAAGAGGGGTGCGTAGGGGGGCCAGCTGATCCTTCCTCAGCTTCATCCCTTCGAACGCCTCCCAGTAGAGGACGTTTACGCTGCTCCCCGTGTCAACAAGGACGCGGCGGACGATCGCATTGTTGATATCCATGCTGATCACCAACTCATCCCTGTGCGGGGCCGGCGACATTGGTAGGTCGGCCGGTCTGAAGGTGATGGCCTCCATCTTGTTCCTTTTAGTGGGGGGAGCTGATATGGAGCCCACGTAGAGGGACCTCTCAAACTTCTTCCGCTCCGCAGGCGTGTCCCCAGTCTCAGCACCCCCGAAGATCACCTTGATCTCCAACTTCTTCTTCCCGCCGTTCGGGCCGAGGGACCCCTCCGGACGTTTGTCAGCACTTCGGTAGTCTACGTCCTTTGGTTCTGCCTCGCGCCGATCGTCGCGGCGCCATGATCGTGACCTCGGATTCGGCTGCCTTGGGCTATTCTTCTTCAGTAGCTGGGTGAACTCGCCCAGGTAGCCTTGTCGAATCAGCTCGTCGATGGCCATCCTCAGCTGTTTGCAGTTGTCGGTGAGGTGGCCGACCCTCTGGTGGTATTCGCAGTATGCGGTCTCATCAAGACCCATAAGTGCCTTCTTGTCTTGGGGCTCCCTTAGGATGCCCTTGTCTTTGATGGCATCGAAGATCTGGCCCACGGGGTAGGCCAAGGGGACGTGGTACTCCTCCGGACGCATGTGGCTTGCCTCAGGATGGGCCTTCCACGGAATCATGCCGCCGTCCGTCTTCTTCTTTTTATTCGGGGGGGATGGTCCGCCTCCGGGGCCGAGTCTATCCGCCAATTTCCGGGAGGGGGCCGCAGGCGCGCCGTCCCTCAATCTGATCTCCTCCTCAATGGAGGCATACTTCTGTGCCCGAGCCAGCACCTCGGTGTAGCTGGTGCTGGGGTTCCTCCGAAGATCCCGGTACAGGTCCCCTATTGCTAAAGTGCTGGTGAACATGTTCACTCCTAGCCGCTCGTCCAGATCATCCACCTGGAGCACTTCGTCCCTCCATCTGACCAGAAATTTGGCCAGAGGTTCGTCCTTGCCCTGCTTCACGCTGGTGAGCGATGTGAAGCTCTTCTTGGGGGTGGTGCTGGCAGCGAATTGTGCCATGAACTGCTGGGACAGCTGTTCGTAGTTGTCAATAGATCCGGGCCTCAGCTGCCCGAACCACTCCTGCGTCGGGCCCCTCAGGGTGCTGAAGAAGAGCCAGCAGATGGCCTCATCGGATGCTCCCAACATGGAGAGGTTCCCCTGGAAGCTGATCAAATGAGCCTTGGGATCTCCGGTCCCATTGTATATTATCCCTCCGGGGGGTCTGCAGTCCCGCAGGATCTCCGCATTCATGACCCTCGGAGTAAATGGCGAGGTGAGGGAGAAACGAGGCGTAGCTGGGGTGGCCTCCGCCCGTCTGTCCATTTCGGCTATTCGCCGCTCCATTGCCTCTAGCCGGGCCTCCTGTGCGGCCCTTCCGGGGGACAAAGGAGGGGCAGCCTCGAGCGCAATGTTCCTTCGTGGGGCAACCGCGTCGGGTTGCCTTCGGGTGATGTGGGCACCACGCTTTTGGAAACGTCGTCCAATGTTACTGGCGGCGGGGGTGATGGCGGTGCCCTGCTGTCCTGAGGGGACATCCGGCGTGCGCCCCCGATGATCGTCCTGGCAACCATAACGGGCGGTGCTGGCGCTGGTGTGCCCCCCAGCCCCGTGGGAGGATGGATTTTGGCCCAACCTCACGTGGACGGGCGTCTGACGCCCGGCAGATTCCGCTGTCTCATCCAGGGACTGCATGTGGTGGATGGGTGATATGGGCGTCCAGATGGTGTTAGCGGAATACACCTCTTCTTCCGCCTCCTGTTCGTCCGCCATTCGACGCATTGTTTCCGCCAACTCCCTCATGAGTCGAGGGTCGCGTCTGGCCTCGTGGGGAATGAGATTGGTGAGGCCACCCTCACCCCCAGAAGTTCCCAACGTCTCGGAGCGTTCCGTGGTTTGTCCGCGGTTGCTTCGCCCGCGGGACAGCTGTTCAGAGAGGTCGCGTTGTCGGTTGTTCCTTGTCATCGTGCTTGCTGTGGGTAGATTTAGTAGCTGTTCGGGAGAGTTTTGGAAACTTTTAGTTCAGTTTCCCACAGACGGCGCCAGTGTTGAGGTTTATTCCTTCAACCCTCGGGTCCAACACGTAAGCCCAAGGATTTCGAATGGAGTGTGTATGAGTATCTAGCCCAACTAGCAAGTAATAAAGATCAAAGAGAACAATAAGGTAGCAAGTAAGTGATTAGGTATTATTATCTCTTAATAACTCCCCAATACAATACTTTTCGCTAAGGCTCCGTCGGCCGTTCGTCTTGCAAGGTAGTAGAAGTGCTGCGAGTAAGAATACTATAGCTAGAATGTTGAGAATAGAAAGTTGCCAACCCCTTACAATGAAATAAATGCTTCTATTTATACCCACCAATGGGCAGGTGGCTATACTGACGTGGAAGCCTGTGGTTCGCTGGTGTCTCAACCACCAAATCTTCAGCATTAAATGCACTTCCCGCCAGAATCTAGGTTTCCCGCCTAATTAGTGGGGACGTTCGCCCGCCAGGGGAGCTAGCTGGATTGCTCCAGGTGGCCTCCAAGGGGTATCAGCCGTTCGTCCCCTGGCCCTTTGTGGATTCTCGCCATGTGGGCTGGACTGCCCCCAATGACTATGGGCTTGCTCTGGCGACGTTCGTCGCCATTCGGGTAGCCCGTGGTCCTGCTCCTTGTCCCTTCATAGACGTTCGTCGAGGTGGGCTGTTGAGCCTGAACCCCATCTGGAGATGTTCCTCCATCCTGGGGGAGATGGGCTTGCCAAGCTATCTTGGTGACCTATCTGGACGTACATCCGGAAGAGAGGGTAAATGGGCCGGTCCTCAGCTTAGGCCATTAACCCAACAATAATAAAACTGAGTTATAAGTTATTACAGAATAAACCCTGTATATTACATTATTACACCCCCTCAATTTGTGCAGGGGAAATCACGTGCAAATTGGAACGCAAAAATTCAAAACGTTGACTAAATAAATTTTTGGTGAAGATATCAGCCAACTGCAGTTGTGTAGGAATGTGCTTCACCACGAGATCGCCATGGGCAACACGTTCACGTACAAAATGGTAGTCAATCTTGATATGCTTGCTCCTGTCATGCTGAATAGGATTCACAGCCAAGTAAGAAGCAGAAACATTATCACAAAGAAGCTGAACTGGAGTAGAAATCAAAATCCCCATATCCGCGAGCAGAGACCGAATGAATAGTGTATCTTGTACAGTATAGGCAATGGCTCTGTATTCAGCCTCTGTGGAAGACTTGGAGACGGTGGGCTGTTTCTTTGAGCGCCATGAGATCGGCCATTGGAAAAAAAATAAACCCTATGCAACTGATACCATATGAGAAAATAGAATTGGGAAATAATGGCTACCCTTTAGGGTGCCTTGGCCTGGTATTTATAATAAAACCGAGTTATAAGTTATTACAGAATAAACCCTATATATTACATTATTAAGTTGTACTTAAGGTTTCACAGTCTTGCCAGCTTGATCTTCAAGCTTGGTACTTGGATGATGGTACTTTAATTGGAGATACTCTTGAGATCTCTAAGGCATTTCACATTATATAAAAAGAAGGTAATGCTAGGGGCCTTAAACTGAATGTTGAGAAGACTGAAGTTTACTGGCCTTCTCCTGACCCTCGCAGGCTGCACAAAGGTGTTTTTCCAGTCAATATTAGCAATCCTGATGCTGGTGTTAAGTTACTGGGTGCTCCTGTTAGTAAGAATCCTGTTTTTTGCGAGAAGATGGTCCTTAGTAGAACCCATAAAGCCCTGAATCTTATGAAAGCTGTAAGTTCCATTAAAGACCCACAATGTGAATTGCTCCTTTTAAGAAATTGTGTTGGTGTCTCTAAACTATATTTCACTATGAGAACCACTTGTCCTGAGCATATTCTGCAGGCCTAATCTATTTTTGATGAACAGCTCTACAAGTATTTGCATAATCTGATTCTAGGTGAAGGTGCTGGTTTTGGTCCTCTACAATACAGATTGTCCACCTTGCCTATTCATGATGGAGGTTTGGGCATCTACTGTTTACAAGATACTCTTTTATACTGTTTTTTAGCCTCTCACATTCAGACCAAGGAGTTACAGGCTCAGATTCTTAGTCATTCTTCATTTTCTAATGGTTTTCCACCTTTGCAGCAAGCTCAGAGCATCTTTAACCAAGCTTGTGGCCTCCCTGCTACCCTAGAGAATACTGTCATTGCCCCACACCCTATGAAAACATTGGCTTTACAGTATTTTTCTTATGTGGTTAAGAATATGGCTTCTAAGTTTAACATGAACTGCAGAGATCTTGCTCTTTGGAAAAGTAATAAACTGAAACATGCTTTGGATTTCCTTCTTGCTATTCCTGCTGAAGGTTTAGGACAAACCATTAGCCCTAGACAGTTTACTGCGATTCTTGCCTATAGGCTAGGTATTCCTCTTTTTTAGGAAGGTGCTATTTGTTCTTGTTGTCTTGGCAGTATGGACATTTGGGGGGATCATGCCCTTCATTGTTCCAGTTTGATTGGCCCCAAATTCAGACATAACATTGTTCGGGATATAGTTGCAGATATGTGTTTTCGTGCTGGTATTGCGCACAAAATTGAAGCTCCTCTTGGGTTTCTTACGCAGCAAGGTGTAGGTGCTAAACCTGCCGATATCCTAATGTATGGATGGGATAAGGGTGTTGATACATGTTGGGATGTCACTATTGTTTCACCTTTTTTTTTAAATAAACGGCCGATCCATTTTATTAATTAAACCAAATAGCTTACAAAAGTGACGTTAATACAGATTACAAAGAAAAAAACAGAAAAAATACAAGAATACAAAATAAAGGGAAGGTGGGGGTGGACAATATGTTGACAAAGATGTGGGCCTGAATCAACCAAATAGGCCCAGGGAATAAAATTCCAACATAATGCTCCCAAAGGGAAAGAGCCGCCTCAAAAGAAAACAGGTTTGAGAGAAAGTGTCGAGAGAGTTCCATGAGAGAGGACTTATTCTGGTTTCATTCCATTTTCACGCCTCATTCCCGTAGCCACAGAGGATCAACTGGTGTCTCTGAAAAACGAAGCTCCACGTTTGTCCTCGTAATAAGATTTCTTGGCTCTAGCCGGGAGTTGATCGAGCGTGAAAGATGTCATCACTTGTAGACGAAGTCCAAAATTAGCCAGGTGATGAGCACAAGAGTTAGTCTCTCTTGGTCTGTAACAAAAAGAGAGTCGATTTGCTAGCTGTGATTCATGAATGGATTTCACCATCGGACGTAGAAAATCAGGTATTTTGGAAAACCCTTTAATCATTTGTATGCTTTTTTCTGAGTCGGATTGAACTATGAATGATCTGTAACCACGGTTTACCAATTCCTGTGACGAGGTGAGTATCGCCTGAAGCTCAGCTTGAAGAGGGCTACAAGCTGTAATCGGGAAAGCAAGGGCATCTTTGAAGGTTCCACTGGTTTCACGGAGGATGGCCCCACCTGCAGGAGATGTAGATCTCGAGCACTTCAAACCAGGGCTTGCACTTTCCAGAGCTATTGAGAGGAAGCAGCATAAATATGCTGAGATTTGTAAAGCTAATGGCCACAGTTTTGGTACTTTAGGCTTCACTACTTTGGGGGAAATTGGATCACAGGCTGTTTTGTTTCTTAAACGTGTTAAGAGTCATATTTGTAGACATGATTCTACTTTAAAAGTTGGCAATTTTCTTTTTATTAGGATAGGATTAGCTATTCAGAAAGGTGTTGGAGCTCAACTTGTTGCTAGGCTCCCTACTTGTTATTTGTAATCTTCAAACTTTTCTTATCCTAATAAAATGCCTTTCCATAATAATAATAATAATGATGATGATGATGATGATGATGATGATGATGATGATGATGATGATGATGATGATGATAAATCTTATTACTTGGTAGTCCATGTCTAGTTCGGTCAACGACCATGTTTTTTTATAGTGTCCCTGTCCCGATCAAATCCCTTCTTTTTTTAAAGTTGATTTTAGTCCCAACTTTCCTATACACAAGAGACTGTGTCCTATATGGGCGGTACTTGTTCCAGTTCTAGAACGGTATCATACTTTTAGTTTTCTGACATGTCTCCAAATCGGGTGAAAAGATTTGGTGGAAATGTTCTCATATTTGAGAACAAAAAATTGAAAAATAAAAATAGAAGATTTGATAATGAAAAACTGAAAAACTGAAAAACTAAAATAGAAAATTGAAGACGAAAAAACGGAAAAGAATATTGGAGAATATATTTGCTTGTAAACGGGCCTTAAGTTTTCTAGGTGATAAGTCCGTATTTAGACACGCATTTGATGCGTGTTGGGATCGGATTTTGATGGTTTTCCTAGCTTTAAGGTGTTACAAATCTCAATTTTAGCTCAAGTTATGTTTACCGGGCGTTGGTTCGAGTTTTGTGTTGTTTGTAGTCAAAATCAGGGAATTTGACCCCGGCACCGGCGCTTGAGAAGCAATCGGGACGAGTTGAGAAGCATTGGAGATTGATTTGAGAGTTTGGAGGTCATCGGGAGGTTCAAGATGAAGATTTGAAGGAAAAAAGGAGCTCTAGGATTGGCTATGGGATCAAAAGAAGATGAATAGAGCTTGAAAACGATGATCAGGATGACCTTCTGTCAATCATTCAAGCATATCTCCTTGTAGAAATATCCATAGAACAAGATTCAAAGTCCACATGAAATCTAACTTCAAGATATACAAATCATATGAAGACACCATTTCGAGAATATGAAAGGCGAAAGGTGAAAACAGACGATGAAGTCAGATGATCTCTGTTGCGATTTCAGAATGACACCTTCCACCATTTTATTCATATCTCTTGATTGGATGATTCAAATCTAATTCCGCAAGTTGTGGTGGATAGAGGACTTCAATATCTACAACGTTCATGAAGGAAGTATCTCCAAATTCGGAAGGGAAGACACGGCCGTGCCTGTCCCTTAGGCACGCCGTGCCTGTAGTGTATTCATGTACCGGGTTGCTGGAATGTCCCGAAACGCAAATTTCGGCCTTTCTCCCCAGGCACGGTCGCGCCTGACCCCTGGGCACGCCGTGCCTGACCCCGTTTTAGTCCTAATTCGACCCAAACTCATATGCTTTCTATAAATAAGGTTTCCCTTCTCCTGTTTAAGGGTTACGAACATTACGGAGAGGCCTAGGGACGAATTTAACACCGTTTTTACGCTATTTTCTTCCAAGACCCTGGGATTATTTGTAAGTTCATCTTTTTAATTAATGACAATTATTTCTATTCATCCCAATTTTGTTGATTCGTCAATTATGAATTGTGAGTAGTTTAATTAGGGATTTGGGCTTGATGAAGGGGTTAATCATGAGGTATAATTGCATGAATGCCGTTTAATTTGTGTTTGAAGAATTTAATTGATATCTCTTGTAACCTAGACTGCAGCTAGAATTACAATTGCATGTAGAATGAATTAAGAGAGATCTAATTTGTTCTAGGACACATTCACACACACTTAATCGTTCGCTAAGAGATTAGTAGCGATTAAGGGGCCGTAAGCTCGCTCGTTTTGGCAATAATTTAGGATCCTGTCGCATGAGAGATCAGCCTGGTCCCCTAAATTGTTGTACTCTACGCCGCGAGAGCGGTAAGAACTTAGTAATGATTAGCTAGGCTCAATTAAATTAAATTCATGTAATTAGGCATGTTCTCCCAGAAATCTGGTTACCCCAAAATCGATCCCTGTTCCCTTCGTCGTTAATTAAGAAGAAACCAATCTTTTATTTTATTGCTCTTTAGCATTAGCTTAATTTTCCCAACCAATCAAACTCGCACAATTGCATTTTATTTTATTTATTTCTTTTAATCGCTGAATTTAGTTAATCTTTAACTCCCTTTTGTCCGTCCCTGTGGAGACGATACTCGTACTTTCAACCACTTTTCTACAACCTTTTTAAGTGCGAGAAAACACACATCACTAGGCATATCTATGTGTAGGATGACTTCAATTAGTAGTCACGCAACTATGGAAAGACACATCATCAATGACTTTTGTTTATACACAACTCTTAAAAACAGATTAAGTGATATTGTAGTATTTTTTACATTTACTTTTATTTCAATATTTAACGGTATACCACTATGAATACTTGTTTAATTAGGAAGACCATATGAGATCACGCAAGATACCATACCAACATTGGTCTGAAAGATGCTTAAAAGCTTGAGCCTAAGCACGGGTCAGCATGGAAATGCGTGAAAAGTGACGTGTGTGAAAATATATACGGAGTACTAGGGGTGGGATCGGGATCACGATTGCCCAAATCCTGATCCCGTCCCGATCCCGAGTCAAACTACAAGAGGATCCCGTATCCCGTCCCGATTAAGTCGGGATCCCGACATTAAAATCCCGATTAAGTCGGGATCCCAATCGGGAATCCCGCTAAATCCCGACAATGAAGTATCAAACATAAAATTTTGTAATTGTTTTAGTTAAACACTAACTTTGATATTTAATGGTTTCAAGATTATTCTTTGTTCATTGTTATACCATATTTATCATCATCTACTTATAAAATTTATTGTAATAATTATCATCACAAATTCACACTAGTACATACTTTTAGAATAATTTTTATTTGTAACTTCAATTAATTAATAGTATAATTTTTGAATAAGCTATCAAGGATTCAAGGCTTAGTGAAACTTACTTCAAACATTATATAAAAATCACTAAAAGAAGAATGTGTAACGTATATTATTTAAATTTCAAAACTAAGTAGACTCATTCATAAACTTTGTAACCAATGAATATAATGTATAAATACATATTATGATTATTTACTAAAGAAAAAAATCTTAGTCTCGATCATGATTTTTAAAGGGTTCATCAGAACCGCAAAATTTGTAATATTGTTGTGATTTAGATTGTCGGGATCGAGAATAATCTCTATTTCGTTACGATCCCGAATATTCATTTTAATGCCGAATAGTTTTAGAAGTTTGATATTGTAAGATACTCGTAGTAAAAGATTAATCT